AGAACTGATTGATTCTGGGGAAAGGAAGAAGATGGGGTTTTGGTTCTAGGTTTGTCCTGCTTGGAGAAGAGGAAGAGAGAATCCAAACCCAGGGTGTTGCTCTACCTCATCTTTCACAGTGTGAACAGAATCTGAATGTCTTTTGGAGCACTGGAGTCAAACACTCTCCTTGTCAAGTCCCAGGGCTGCAGCAGCTTTTAGCTCAGGCCTATCTCTAGCAACCATTCCCAGTGTTTGCAAGCAAGGGAACAGAGCTGCTGCTATTCGCCACATGCTGTCACAGTCTAAGCCAGGGGCCTCCTGCCTTGTGATTGCTGATTTCAGTCCATTTCTCTGATTTACAGTTTCCTGATTTGCAGGTTGTTAAAATACTTGTAAAAAACATTGGTCTGGAAAATGTCCCTAAATAATTATGTTGATGACTAAAAATCAGCCTGAAAGGGCTTTAATTCATAGCAGCTTATACAATAACGGAGATTTAGGGAGAGCTTTTATTCTCAACTCGTATTTTTAATGTTTCATTCATGTTCATATCCTGTACTACAGACCCCAAAGCGAGTTTATATGGCTAAACTCTAATTCTACAGTCGGGAACTAGTTCATTCTCTGGAAAAACATTCGTAGGCAAATAAATTCTTCTATCTGAAGTTCAGTGTTGTGTTTATGTTCTGGAGGGCTTGTGAGGAATTAGAGTCCTTTCCTCTCTGGATGGGGACTGTAGTAATTGAAGAGTTAGTGTTAAAATAAGGAGTCTAAGCATCAGTGAGACACAGGTCAAGAGGTGCCCTGTTTACTTGCTGCAAGTAAAGATCACAACCAAGTCTGTACTGGGGAATTTGTGCAGTACAGCCCTAAACAACTTGGATCTGCAAATAAGCCAGACATATCTAAGACTATTTTGGTTGTTATCTTTGGTGTTGAGAGGAGAGAGATCTGTTGTCATTAGCCCAGGCTAATGTTTAAGCCTGCAATAGTGTCATCTCAAGTTTCTTATTTAACCAGTCCCAGCTGTGTCAAATCCTGCCTGCAACAGAACTAGAAGCTGGAATTAACCATTGAGCCTCCCAAAGCATATGACTGATTGACTCTATTATAAGGTCTGGTTAGGACCATTTTGACATCTTCTGCTGGAAAATGTCTTAGTTAAAACACTTTCAGAAATGCTTCTGTTACTTAATGCCAAGACACCTCAGAAAGTCCCAATCTGGCCGGGATGGAAGATGGACTTTACCACTGCCCAGGGGAGTAAGTTTAGTCTATTGTGAGCTGCTTCTGGCTTTGTAATGACTCTCAGCAGGGGAAAAGCTTGAGATTCAGTGTTTTTTAAGACTAAGAGAAACGTTCTCTGCTCAGCTCTGTTTGCAAGTCTTATGTTATTTAAAGGCCTCAGCGTGCAGTAAAAGAAGTGAACACAAGTCTCTGACTGCATTCAACAAGCAGGGTGGAGCAGTTTCTGCGTTAATGTAATGTGGAAGTACAGGAGTTTTCCTGTCATATGCAGGCCTGCTGTTACTGACACATCTCCACGCAGCACTGCACGCCAAGGCATGGGTGTTTGTATGCTCCCATCAATGGAACCCCACACTGCCACGACGTGCCAGAGGCTCAGGTGGGAACTTACACATCTACAGGAAAACAGAACTTCTGGAGGTCTTGGTAATATGGAATTCCTAAAACTTCGGATCTTGCTTAGCAGCACAATGTATTAACAGAAGCCCTGGTTAGTTAGTGCAGGTGTCTGCTTGGTCTGCCAAGAGGCAGGCATGAGGGAGGGGAGCTGTTTTCAGCTGGAAGTAATTACCTTGATGAGTGAAGTAACCAGAGCTTTAAAAACACTGTCTCCTGGTCCACTGGAAAGTTAGATATGCCCAACATCTGTATTTGTCAGGACAGATCTAAGGAGATGACCTACCAGCTGCTCTGATGTGGTAGAGTCTTCTTTGAGGAATAGCGTATCCTCCTCATCCTGCTGTCAGGAAACATTTGCTTTACTTCATTCTTCTATTCTCATCACACCCCCTTGTGCACAGCAAGGATGTGCTGAGATACTGTGATAGCTTCTTGAAGACCGCTGGGATAAGATGATGCTGTAAAGTGATCTTCAGCAGGAAGGTAATCTGCATGTAATATACCCCTGAGCTGTGACTGCCCTGGCCCTTCTGAAAGCTGTTTTGAAACTACAAATCCACCATATGCTCTTGGGAGATTTTATGGGGTCTACTACTGCAGTTATCTGCAAATAAAAGCAGGGTCTGGGTTAACTGCAAAAGACTCCACAACCTTTTAGCATGCTGCATGTGCAGAACCACATGCCAGCCTTCCTTGACGGGAGAACAGTTGAATGATCCAATACATTACACTAGATCTAAACAGAGGCAGAATTCAGGGGTTATAGACTTCTTATGCTACAAGTGCTCTGGGGCAAGTACAGCAGTAAGTAAACCCAGTTGCAAGCAATCAGCTTGGAAAATGGTACATTGAAGGAATGTCCTGCGGTACAGTATTAAATTACTGAGGGAAAAGAGAGAATTTATCTACTAGAGGAACTGATGAAGCAAAGAAACAATGTCTTGATGTAAAGCTTTCATCCAACTTTGGGCATGTAAAACAGCAGAATGGTGGAAGGTGATCTGGTTCCATGAAGGAAGAAAGCAGGATCTTAAGAATTGCCATATTATGGCTACAAAGGTTATGATGAGCAGAAAGGAAGAGAAGAGCAACAGCTTAGAAGTAACCCAAGGTGAATTTGGAAAGTAAACGTGCATATTTCTGAGGAACAGACATGTAACGTGATGCTGTAGTATTTGTAATGCCAAATAAGCTGATGTGCTTGAACACCCTGAGATCAGCAAGTTTTACCCTCTAATTTAGCAACTTCCACAGCTGCAAGTAGTTTCATTTTTAGTTATCTCCCTGTGTGCAAGGGAGAATACAGAACTAGCCAGTTTTAGCACAAAGGTGTGGGTCTTTCCACTGAGGTAGAGAAGTCTAGTCTGCTCTACCAGAACTTGTGCTACTTATATCCCTAAGGGATCCCTTAAGGAACTACCAAGGATGCAGCATAGACTTGAGGTTGAGAGTTTTTAAAAGCCATTTCCACTTTGTTATTAACATGTGTGAATATTGGATTTTATTATTTCCTCTGATTTTATGACTATTGCAGATTATTCGAAAGCAAACTGAGAAAGTCATTTATTGCCTGGGTTTGTTTTGGTTTTTAAACCTGTAACACTTTAAAGCATCATGAGGAGTTCTGGATCACACTCAAACTGAGGAGAATGATTAATGAGTTAGAAGAACTAGCCTGCAAGGCTGAACACAGCCATAAATGGAGGGGTAGGAGTCCATGTGGAGCTGTAAGGTCAGTTACGGTTCTGAGAACCCAGTGAAATTGTGCTGTAACTACTGACACACACCTCAAAGGTCTGCCAGCTTTGCTAAGGCTTCCTGCCCTCTCCAGATGACCAACTAGACTGATGATCTCCTGATAGCAGGTTTTCTTGGTGAACTTCCACATCTTCCTGATACTTTGGGTCTTACTAGAAAACAGATGTTCCTGGAGCACTTCATAATCTCACTTTGAACACTGACAGGAACCAGAAACTGGAGAACACAGAAATAAGAAACGCTTTTTTTTCCCTATTATTATTGCACCTGATCATTATTGAGCCTTGATACTGGGGACTAAGATTCGGGCAAGGATCCAGATTGGCTCTTCCCCATGAAATCCATTCTCCTGTCCCTATATGCACATTAAGGTGAGCACTAAGTCTAGTGTTTCAGTCTTAAATCTCAATTCCCTTGCTTGGGTTTCCAAGCCAAACGTTTGCTAGGGGAGAGATATGAAGAGCTGCTGAGTTGCCTTCTTCCAGGATACCTGTTTCTACTGAATCTGTGGTGAAATTAGATATTATACTGAGTGGGTCTAGATGGTTTGTCCAAGACACCAGCTAACTAAGAAACAATGCAGCCCCAATTTGACCAAGTAGATGGTTTTTGTTTAGCACTCTTAACCTGAAATCATCGCCCATGCCACCTGCATTTCAGATACTATTTTTTTTCAGCACACAAACTAGGTCTAGTTAAGTGTTTTGGAGGAGTTCCTTCAAAGGATGTCTGAAATGTGAGAGGGATACCGAAGACAGCTCAGGAGAAGTCTGTACTGAAATGATGCACTTCAGGCTGTAAGTCTAGGCTGTATCTATAGGGATCTAAACACACTCTTTTTCCTGTCATGCCTTCCTTCTCTAAACAAACCTCTTCAGCTTTTCCACCCAGAGACAACTACATTTGACTGCTTACAGGATGCTTTACAACTTAAAGTGCATCTTTTGTGTTGTAAAGGTTTTCCAGTATAGCAGGCTGCTGTGCAAGCTTTTAATGGCTTCAAGAATCATTTCACCAATAAAAAAGGGTGTTTTGTACACAAATCATCATAAGTTGAGACAATTGTCACTTGAGTGACTGGGAAGCTCTCATTCAGTCAAACAGACAGCACCTGATAAGGTTAGTACATATTGTTAAAATAGACTACTATCAGCTGTATGTGTATTAGACATAACCATATTCTGGACTCCCTGAAAGAACTCTTGTATCTTGGCTACTGATATGAACTGAATATGGGCTCCTAGGCTGGCCACCAATAATAGAGGTTGAACTTGGGGCCTCTGGAAGGGAAAGCAGCAAGCCCTGAGGTAAACAGCCAAGACCCATGGCAGGAGGTTGGAACTAGATGATCTTTAAGGTCCCTTCCAACCCAAACCATTCTATTCCATGATTCTACTGCCCTGCTGAAAACAGTGCCTCACAGATTGGATGCAGGCGACATTTACTGCTGCTTCTGGGGTGGCTGGGCTGGAGTTTCTCACTTTCCCACCTCCCAGATTTAGGCCAGAACTGCTGGTGGGGATGATGGGAGGACAAACCATCCCAGGAACCTGCTCCACATGAGAAACATTCTGTTTTCCCAGCAGATAACACACCTGTTTGTATTGGCACACCTGAGGGGCAGCCTGTGCTGCTGCCATGGACAGTGCTCTTTGCCTAGGGGCCTTAGAGTCATCAGTCAGTGGGTGGCAGTAAAATCCTGAGATAAAAAGTGCTTCCATTGTGTCAGCCTGCTCCTGCAGTGGGAATCCTGCACAAACCATGGCAGTGCTCTGTGCCAAACGTTCTGTAGGAATAAAAGGCAAAATAAGTGACTTAAGTGATGCTACTGGCTTGCTTCAAATTATTCCAAATTAAGTCATTTTTGAACTTAAAACCTTTGGTTTAAAATAAACCAGAGAGTCATCAGGGAAGAAAAACCTGAGTGCCATGAAAACTGAGCTGTGAGTTCATGGATATGATTCATTTTCCCCTTTTCTTTCCATCCGTTCAGGGGGCCAGCCAAATCCATCTCTTACCTGGCCTTTCTTTACCCTGAAACTCAGAGTAATGGGAGGAACAGAGTTGATGATGTGATGGGATGTTTGTAGAAGGCTCTGCTGTGGGTATCCTGTGAATTGTTCCTGACATTCCTCAGCTGGTATGCTGTTTCTTTGGGTACAGACAGGTATATCGTACTGATACAGGACCTGGGCCTAAACAATATGTCTGGATGGTATTAACAGGAGGTTTGGACAAAATCATGTCTCTCCGTTTCTTCTAAGCCAGGGATGGAGAGATCTCTCGCATGCACACCCCCCACATACACATAACCCCTCCAGAGCATTGCACGAACATCTGAAAGCCCTGTGATTCCAATTGTGATTGTTGATGCTCACTTTCACCACGTTTAAATTTGCTCCAAACTGTCTACTCCTAAGAACGTCACTCTTCACAATGTGTGTATGGATATTAATCTCCCCAAATGGAATTTAAATGGCAGGGTGGACCCTTCAAGCTAATGTAAGGGAGGTGATGCCCCGTCTGGTTTTAATTAGAGCTAGCTTTCTTAATGAGGTAATGTTCTGTTGTGCTGGGTTATCTCCTAGAAGACGGGGCAGCAGGCGAGCTGTTGGGGAGGGACACTTGAACAACATCACAGGCAGGCTGTTTAATGTTAGCACTGTCATTCATCACCCGGGCTCTTTGGAGAGCCTGACAGCCGGAGCACGTCCTGTGGGGACTCCATCAGCCTCTGGCGTGCTGCTTAATGCAATTTAGCCAGATGTATCAAAGAGGCAGGCGAGACCCTGCTATTTGGACAGCATTTATAGCATCCCGGGCAAATAGTCAGGAAATGTTCAATAATGTGCCTTGCACAAGTGTGGCAAGAAGCAGATTCTTAGGATGATGGGTTGCCAAGAGAAATCCTGGCAGTGCCTCATTCCAGCTTTTAGTCACATGCTGGTTTTGTTGTTATTGTTTGAGGGCTTATATTTTTGTCTCAGTTTGAGGTTTCCAAAGACCAGATTGAAGGTGACTTGAATACACCCATCTGGTTCCTGATCTAGTGGATGAATGTGCACAGCGGAACCCCTGGTCTGCTCATGCAGAGCATGGGTCCGGGCATGGGGCCTGCTGGCTGCTGCATCACCTTCCCAGCACCCGGAGCAGGGCAGAGCTGACAGCTGCTGCAGCCACAAATGCTCTGCTCTTGATGCAAAAGGGATCTGTGGTGTTTGGGCAATCAGAGAGCAAACACCACTTCAGACAGGGAATTTACTGGGAATTCCGGCTACAGAACGGGATCCAGCCTGGTATGCTGGCAGCTCTGTTATGGAATTCAAGAGGGGCTCTGCAGAGTATAGTTCAAGTATACCTGTTTGATACTTAAGTAATGTTAATTCCCAAGTTTTGCAATCTAGACCTTTTCCTGACAACTTGAGGATACCACAGACCTTATCTGGTTCTCCCCTTGGAATACTGGCTGTGTGAAATCTCTCCATCAATTACACAGAAGGAGAATTTCTCACTCTGAAAACCAGAGCCTGCGTCAGGGAAGGCAGATACCCTGGGGAAAATGGGGTTCTGCTCTTCCTACTCAGCATCCTGGCTGGTTGCCACAAGCTGCCACAGAAATCCTAGCCAGGAGCCATGTGAGTGCTGAAAGCAGACGTGTTCTGTGGCACTGGTGTTTTGCTGTTTTAGTCTAAAACCTCCCTGCCAGCAATGGGAGGAAAGCACAGGGTTAAAGCACTGCCCTGTGGGCTGCTGGCAAATGGATGTGTAGTCTCTAGAGGGGGAAAAGCCCCAATGAGCCTGGAAAGGGAATAGTTGTGATGGGTATTTTCAGCCTAAAGACCAAAGCGGCCTGTGTGGGGGACAGATACCCAGCCCAGGCACCTCCCCATGTCCTGGGGTGTCAACTTCACCTGTGAATTCAGCTTTGGCTCAGGGCTGGTGCATAAAGATGGAAAATCCATCTGGGCCTTGCAGCCTTGGAAAGCTCTTTGATGATGTTTCCAGCAACAGCAATGTAGCATGTGTGGGACCTTGCATCCTGTTGCTAATAAGTCTGCTTTTACACCACTCTGCTACACTTACTAACTTTCATTTACATATTTTTCCAATAATCTTTTTAACATGTGACTAGGTGACCATAAATCCTGGAGACAGTGAGCAGTGCAGGGTATGTTGGAAGAACAAGTGCTTGGGGCTCAATTTAACCCTTCAGTTACCACTAGAAAGGCCAGGTCCTGAGCAGCCGTGTCCTGCTGTTAGCCCAACAGAGACAGGTTGGCAAGGAAGGGTAAATGAATCATAGAATCATAGAATCCCAGGCTGGTTTGGGTTGGAAGGGACCTTGAAGCTCATCCAGTTCCAACCCCCTGCCACAGGCAGGGACACCTTCCACTAGAGCAGCTTGCTCCAAGCCCTGTCCAACCTGGCCTTGAACACTGCCAGGGATGGGGCAGCCACATGCTTTGAAGGGAACAGATTTTCTTCCAGTGGTATCCCAAAACAAATACAAATTTTGGTACTGCTGCCAAGTCCCAGAATGCAAATTAACGCAGATTGAGGCATTTTAAATGTTTTGCTAACAAGTATATGCCACGGTTCTGCATTGATATTACGAAACCCCATCTCTGGATTTAGTGACTAAACCAAATGGCTTTCCCTGTTTCAGGACATATGATGAAGCAAAGGAAATCTGGGATGGTTTGTGAAGGCAGGAATGAATGGGGACAGCTGGGTAGTGGATGTGAAACAGCATCTCCTGCTGCACACAAGTGCTCAGCAATATTCAGAGCCATATATTCCTATAACAAAACAGAATTACTGGGGGCCATGCGATGGGAGGGTACTGACACTGAATGTCTTGGTTTGAGTTCTCCCCCTGCTACCATGGGGTTTCAGACTTCTCACTGAGAGAAACAGTGACAACTAGAAAGATTGTTCAATGTTTTTTTTTATGTATATATACACATAGTTGCTTCCAATTACCAGGAATAGCTGTTTCCTCTATTGAGCCAGCTGTGTAGATGGCTGAACAATCTGTCTGTTCAAACATATTTCAGTCAACTTTCTCTAGCTGATTTGGCATGAATTTTTCTCTCTACAACTGGATCTCCTCCAGTAACAACTTAGACATCCTTTTGACTTTAGGTCATGGCTGTATGACACTGAAGAATGCCTTTCATTTGTCTCTTTCCAAGTAATGATGGCAATACCAAAGGACTACCATGCCTCTGGTTCAAGAAGGGGCAGTTTAATTGTTTGTGTCACACATCCATGTGTCAGCTGGTTTTACCCCACAAATCAGGGTGGATTATCTCAAGAACAGGGTTTTGGACTGGCACTCAAGGGTTAAAGTCCTAACACATGTCCTGGATAATCACCTATTTCTGCATCTTATTGTATGGAAGTAACTTCTCACCTCAATACTATATCCTGTTAGGACTGTAGAGCTCAGAGTAGGGATGAGTACTGGGGGAAAGAAACCTCAATCCCAGGCAACCAAGCATAATAAGATCTTCCAGCAGCAGCAGGGGTGAGCAGAAGGGAACAGAGCTGCCATCAGGAAGCTGAGGTCCACTCTGCTTTTCCCAGTGGAAACCAGACTGTGGCCACAAGCACTATGAAACGCTCTCGGCAGGTTACAGCATATGCATTTTCCATGTGTAAATGTATCCTGCTCTCACTAAAGCTTCAGCTTGGAATGACAACCATTTGCAAATGTTTCACATGCCCCAGCTGAGAGGCTAGAAGAAAATGTGGCCTTGATTAGCCACTGTTAATCCATTTCCCTCTCAATTAAATCTTCTTGTTCCAAATACAGTGTGAGACCGCTCAGTTTGTAATGTACCAAACCTTATGTTGCTGCTCTGCGTGAGGAAACCAGACCCCGGGCTCCAAGGCTGTCATCCTAAGGCCTTTCACAGCAGCAAAATGCTATTTTCCCAAGATCAGCACTTTTTTGCAGCCGTTTCCGTGATGACTTAGGGCAGATGACTTAGGACAGCCTGTTGGGACTGAGTTTGATAAGGGTCCCTGATCTTAGTAATACAGCTAAAGCTCCAAAAGCTGGATTTCAGCACTATCTAATCACACTGGTCTCCTTTGCCAGTCCCTTATGCTTCCAAGATTTTGGTGGTATAATGACATCTTCAGATCTATCTTTACTGTATTTCCAAATTTCCAATGCAATTCCATGTCTCAGAGCCTCTAATACTATTTTAATTGCCAGTTCACTGCTTGAGGGGCACCTTCCTTCATAACTCCTGCTTTGCTTGTGATGATGAGATCTCTTGCAGATGCAGTTCATCAGAAAGATCACAATCACTCTAGAAACACCTGCATTGTCTGGCTTCTATTACTAGGAATTCCTACTGCTGACAAGCTTGGGGAGGAGAGGATGGGGAAAACTCAAGATCCCTTTGCACAGCTGGAATATAAATGAGAAATTTTCTTCCCATTTACTTTAGTTCTGTAGATGATTTAGCTGCTATTGGTCAAGATTACCACCAAATAAAATTCAGAATCTACTAGCTTGTGGTGTTTGGTGTAACACACTCGTAAAACAAATCTGTGCCTCCACCACTGGAACAGGTCATACTTTTTGCTATGATATGGGCAGAACTGGAAGTAGTGTTCATTGCCGGGGCTCAGCACCCAAGAGCAGCAAGGATCCTGCATTTGGACTCCATACTGCATAAGGAAGACAAAAAAATAATACAGTTGTTCTAATGCCCTGCATGCTCTTCCCACTTATGATTTAAGGACGATCCCATTGCTGGCAGTGTTCAA